CCATTATTCCCATAGAAAACATAACATCCTCTACTTGTGTTGATTTCTTAAAGGAGATGTTAGCATTTTCTGGCACTTAGAAGAAATCCCCCCCCCCCCATCCATATTCAATGCTAGATAAAAATGTTTGTTGAAGTGAGGCAAGTATAACTATTCTGTGCTTTCATGTGTAGTTTTCTGTATGTATGTTTTGTGTGTGCGCATCTGTGTGAGTGTCCGCGTGCGTTTTGTGCTTTTGTGTGTGTGTATGTGTGTGTGTGCACGCGTGCGTGCGTGCATGTGTGTGTGTGCGTGTGTGCGTGTGTGTGTGAGTGATTGAGTTTCCATGCACATGAACGTATGCACACACCCATTGATGCGCACATGCACACATACATGCACGCATGCACCTTCCCCCTGCAGCGATGTCAGTAACACCAACCTCACGGGTTACCTCCCCCCAACACTGGGCTCCCTTTCCTTACTTGTAGACCTGTAAATTTGTTTTTAAACCTCATCATTTTACTTCACCCAGCTCTGCCTCTCTATACTCACCATGCATCCACCATGAAACGTCTCAAAACAGCATTCATATCAATCCTGCCTGTCTATACTCACCATGTAGCCACTGTTATGGAAACGTTTATTGAATGCACAGATGACAGTGTGAAAACGTTTGCTCAACGGAGCAATGTTTCTGCTCGATCTTAATCATCTGTTTGGTACCTTCTTCTCTGCACCTGCAGGAACATAATGCGAACAGCAATCACATGCCCACCGGACAACAGCAGCTGTGTGATCACACAGAGAGCTTCAAGCGCTTTCTGTACGGAGTGCTACTCCTTCTGCTCCACCTGTACCGCACCTTCACCCTCTGATAGAACCTGGTCATCGCAAGGTGAGTTGAGATAGCAATTGAGGCGCGTTTCAAAGTGCAAGTGCCGTCAATCATTCTTCAAAAGTGATTCGAGTTTTGAGTCGCCTCGAAACTCGCCCCTTCTTCTGCTCCACCTGTACTACACCAGCATCCTCTGAGCTGAAACTGCCTGGTCGTCCCAAGGTAAGTTGAGGTGATTTTTTTAGGTGCATCACGGAAAACATTAGTACCTTGTTGATGAAAACATTCTGGCCGTATCGGATTCCTGTCTCTTGCTCGTCTCCTTCCTTACTCCTCCTGCCTGCCTCATCGCTTGTTCTGTACTTACTCTCTCTGCCGCCAGTGCAACTCCTGATGGACTTCCAGCAGGCGTGGGGGCAGACATTTGCCGGATGGGTGTCTGGGGGGGGCTGTATCGCTGCAGAGAACGTGGAGTGCAATGCCCAAGGCATGGTTACCAGCATGTGAGTGCCCAAGGCATGGTTATCAGCATGTGAGTGCCCCCCAAGGCATGGTTACCAGCATGTGAGTGCCCAAGGCATGGTTACCAGCATGTGATTCACCAAAGCTTGTTGGTCCTGCCAATCTTCCTCATCACTCCGCCTCTCTTATACTCACCTTCTTTCACCATTTGTTTTCCCTTAACTAATCCGTCTCCACGCCTCCCCTCAGGGATCTAGGCGACCAAGGCTTATCCGGATCCATACCTTCTACTATCAATGGCATGAGCAGCCTGGCACATCTGTGAGTAACAACCGTTCCCATATAAGCATCAGTGTTGGTAACATACCTAGGAAATATGATTGGTAGTTAAAAGTTGGATCAGCCGTTTGTGCATAAAAGTTATGTTCTTTACTAGGTATCACCATGATTACACGACCAGAAACAAATTACAGTAACTTATATTAAGAAAATATGTGATACCACCGTTATAAATCTAGAAGGTGACATAGCTGGGCCCTTTTTCGCATGCATACATACATACATACATACATACATACATACATACATACATACATACATACATACATACATACATACATACATACATACATACACACACACACACACACATACACACACACACACACACACATACATACATACATACATACATACATACATACATACATACATACATACATACATACATACATACATACATACATACATGCATACATGCATGCATGCATGCATGCATGCATCATGCATCCATACATGCATACATACATGCATCCATGCATACATGCATCCATACATGCATACATACATGCATCCATGCATACATGCATCCATACATACATGCATCCATACATACATGCATCCATACATACATGCATCCATTCATACATGCATCCATCCATACATACATGCATCCATTCATACATGCATCCATCCATCCATGCATCCATCCATGCATCCATGCATCCATACATGCATCCATACATGCATCCATACATGCATCCATACATGCATCCGTACATGCATCCATACATGCATCCATACATGCATCCATACATGCATCCATACATGCATCCATACATGCATCCACATACATGCATCCATACATGCATCCATACATGCATCCATACATGCATCCATACATACATACATGCATCCATACATACATATATGCATCCATACATACATATATGCATCCATACATACGTACATACATACCTACTCTAACACACACTCACGCATCTGGAATGCACATACATACAAGCATTTACTGTTCTCTCTCTCAAGAAGAATATCCCTTGTTGTTCGGGTCTTGTGTGCTCGTCTTGCGATCATCAGAAATTTACATCACAACTTTCTGATGGGATCCATCCCACCTTCTATCGGCAACCTGGAGAGCTTAACCCGCCTGTGAGTATGAGTCAGTTTAGTTTGGATAGAATTTTGAGTGAACCCAATAGTAAACTTGAGCACACCGCCTTATCTTAGAACATTAATTCCTGCACCTGGCATTTTATTCATCTCCAAATCTTACGTGATGCAGCTAGGTAATTCTGATCCCACTTCTCTTGCTGCCACACATTGTCAGGACTACAACCAAACTAAACTCAGCATACTTACTTCTGTGTTCAATCCTCACTCTCTTCTCACTTGCTTCCCTACAATCGGCCTCCAGGGATCTCTATGGAAACGATCTCATCGGCTCTATTCCCTCAAGCATTGGCAATCTCCTTGACTTGCGCTACCTGTGAGTCTTCGAACCATGTTGTTTCACAAAATGCCCTTGATATATACAAATATATATATTTACATGTGGACGATTCAGCATTTATAATAGCAGAGACTTGTGCTTCTGGTGACCATTTTTGCATTACCATATCCTTTACCACACTATCACTGTGTGTCTGGACTCTGGATTCACTTTCAAGAGTTTTCAATGATCCTCTGCGATGTTTTCTTCTTCGCTCTAGAAGGAAATGCTGTTTTTCACACAAGTGTAGAAACTGAAGTTGGCTTCAATATCATGCATGTCAGGTTTCCTTCACGCCATTGGGATGGATCACTTATGCCTCTATCCCTATCCTTATCACCTCCTTACCCTATTCTTTCTTCTCTCTTCGTGCCCCCTTTCATTCTATCTACCCTGGGAACCTCTGCACGTAACATCAGGGATCTAGGCGAAAATGCATTGAGTGGTTCTATTCCATCCACCATCAGCAGCATGACCAGCCTCACTCACTTGTTAGTGACATCAGAGCCTTCCTAACCTCCTGTCTTTTTCAGATTGGATGATGGCTTCATTCAGTTGCTTCCATAGAATATAGTGCGTTGCTCATGATTCTAATCAGGCCGATGAATATCACCTATTTGGTGTATTTCTTCTGGCTGCCCTCCCTTCCTGTTGTGAGGTTCTGTTATGTTACCTTTCTTTGCATATAAAGCTTAGCTGTTATCAACAACACCCTTTTCTGGCTTGTTCCCTTTCTTCCTTGTTGTGGGTCGTTGCTAATAATGGATGTAGGAGTGTGAGGTCGAACTTTCTCTCACAGAGCATCCCAGCCTCCATTGGAAATCTTATCAACTTACGATACATTTAAGTGCTCTTTTTCTTGCAGATTTCTACACTTCATACATGAGACAAAAGATAAACTCTCAAGTCATACCCCGCAACTTCTGAATTGGGATCTGAGTTGTATTTTTCCTTACAAATATACTTGACAAAAGACAAATCAAACACAATTTGGTTTTGTGCAACACCACGGTCTTTCCTTTTGACCCAATCAGATTGCTATACAACAACAGCCTTACCGGAACCATTCCAGACTCAATCAGCAAGCTCGTGAATCTCTCAAGACTGTAAGTTCTCAAACACACTATCAATGCCGTGGTTGCATACCTTCACGTTCTTTCCGAGAAGTTGTGATTCACTTAGCAGACTCGCATCTTGTATATGTGTGCCATGTGACATTCATGTCGTATTGTGACTTTAACGAATACTTCGAGACCGGCATAGAAACAATGATCGCTTGTTGTGCATGTGTGTGTGCGTGTGTGTGTGTGTGTGTGTGTGTGTGTGTGTGTGTGTGCCTGTATGTGCGCGTGTGTGTGCGTGCGTGCGTGTGTGCCTCTGTGTGTGTGTGTGTGTGTATGTGTGCACGTGCCTGTCTTCACTGCAGTGACATCAGCCTTACCAACCTCACTGGTTACCTCCCTCCAACAATCGGCAGCCTTACCCGTCTTGCTACCTTGTACGCCATTCCAAACATCAACTTCCCCCCAATTCCCTCCTCCCCCCACCCGCTTCCCCCTTCACCCTCTTCTAATAGCTCCCTCAACCGATCCTTGGAATGCCGATTATTGCAATCTAAAACTGGGTACAATGCTGCATCAAATTTCCAATGCCATCTCTTTCATATGCACGTACAGGAACATGAATGGAACAGCAGTCACCTGCCCGCCTGACGACAGCAGCTGTGTGACCACACAGACATCCTCAACCGCTTTCTGCCAGGCGTGCCCCTCCTTCTGCTCCACCTGTGACATGGGCCCAAACTCTACTGCGCCACCATCAGGTGTGTTTTGGACCGTCTCAAACCGACTTTTGAGGTGTCTCAAAAACTGGAGAAAAAGAAAAAAAAAAGAAGAAAAAAATAAAGTTCCTTCCTTCTGGTTCACCTCTGATATGGTTCCCTCAGGTGAGTTTTCAGTCGGCTCAAAACATGCCCCTCGTTCTGCAAGGGGACATGTGACTTGGCCCACAATATGAACCATATAGTGCTACAAGACCACGTGGTGCTACAAACCACGTGATGCTACAAAACCACGCGGTGCACCATGTGAGAGTCAAGACTCTCCTTTCCAGTCTACTCTATGTGATCTGGTTTCCTGGACAACTTGGTTTGTGAAGTCACCATGATGATAAAACTCATGGGATTATCATGTCAGGTCTGCCTTTCTTCTCCACAGTCTCGCCTATGTCTCCCCTTTACATCCCATCCCTTTCTGAGCTTGAAGTGCATTGGAACCTTCCTCCACTTCCCCACCCCTTCAAAATTGAACCACATTTCCTTCTCCCCCCCACCCCTCCACTCCCTCTCCCTTCCCCTCTTCCCTCCCCCCTGCCCCACGTACAGTGCCCCCAGTGACCCCCATTCCCCCTGAAGAATATCCGGCCGAGTCCGGAGTGAGCCTGTCTCTAGGCGCTACAGCTGGCATTGCTGCTGCTGGCGGTATGCTGGCCCTCCTCCTGCTGCTGGGGATGGTAGCGTTGCTGTATCTGCTGTGCCGGAGGCACACGAAAAAGGCGGGAGGAACAGCAGAAGCAGCAGGAGGAATAGAAGCAGGAGCAGCAGCAGTCACAGCAGCAGGAGCAGGAGGAGTATCAGGAGGTTATAAAACGGATTTGGGGGAGAAAGATGTGGCACTGAGACGTGCCTTTGAATCATTTCAAAAGGATACGGCACTTGGAAGCGCCCATGAGTCTGCTCCTATGAATACAGCACAAAATATCCCGCACCAAGGTAAGAAGACAATAAGGTAAGAAAGGAAGATATTCAGGTAGAAAAGATAATAAATTAAGGGAGACGATACGGTAAGGAAGGCTTTTGATATGCATCAACAGGTTTCTGGGATGTTTCCCAGTTCTCCTTCCTTCTTCCTTCCCCACCGTCCTAGTAATTCCCACTCTTCCTTTTTTCTCTCTTCTCCCTCTTTGTCCCTCCCATCCCCTCCCCCGCTTCTCCAATGACTATTTCTCCCTTCTCCGTTCACCTTCCACACATCCACTGTCCCGCTCCGCATCCACTACCCTCCCTCCCAACATACACACCTTCACTGTTCTGACAGTTCAACCTGAGACAGCATTCCATGTAGACCCAGAAGCAGCGGCAGCAGCAGCAGCAGCGGCGGCTGTGGCAGCAGGAGCAGCAGGCCCTTATGGCAACAATAACAACCCAGTGGCAGTGGAGGACCCAGAGGAAGCTAAGCCAATTCTATGCCAGAAGTTCACTCTAGGAGAAGTGACCAATGCAACGGGTGATTGGGCAGAGGAGAACAACATTGGCAGTGGGAGCTTCGGAGATGTGTACAAGGGCGTGTCGCCTTACGATCTTAATGAGTTTTGGGCAGTCAAGCGAGCCCGGATTCTCTCGAATGAATTTCAGACGGAAGTAAGTTACTGAAACAGTTGAAATCCTTAGTGTTGCTCTTTGTATGTCCTTGTGCAGCAAAGCTACCGTTGTTGCATTCACAGCTACTGTTGTTGCACTCACAGCTACTGTTGATACTTTCACAGCAACCTGGCGCACCTTTGGGCTACTGTGTGCAATACGGCCAACCGCCTGTGTCTCTTTCTTCCTACTTTCCCCTCTCCCGTTTTGAAGGTAAAGGCCATGGCCAGCAAGTTCCATCCCAACCTGGTGCGCCTGTTGGGCTACTGTGTGCAATACGACCGCGGCACAAGCCACGTGGAGCAAATCCTCGTGTATGAGTACATGGAGAACCGGGACCTGGAGAGCTGGATCGGACCAGGTAACTTCAATCCCATGAGAACTGACGGATTTGTATTGCATTCTCAGTGGCGCGGGCCACGTGGAGCAAATCCTCGTCTATGAGCACATGGAGAACTGGGATCTGGAGAGCTGGATCGGACCAGGTAATTTGACGTGCCTCTGAACTTGCTAGATTTGTTATTTCTCCCTTCAACAGCCCTTCATTGAACCAATTTCTCGTGTATGAGTACATGGAGAACCGGGACCAGGAGAGCTGGATTGGACCAGGTGACTTCACTTAACCCTTGAACACTACTTGAATGTTCCATCCAGTATAACATCAGCTGACATAGCTTGGATAATCTGGTCAAACACTTCGCCCGTTGCAGCGTGCATGTCTTTGCCAATCTTGGCCAGATTAGCATAAACAGGAAACTCATGCCAATCGTTTTCTTTTTGTTAACCTGCCAAAATTGCTCACTCCTGGAAGCATGACTTGCATTGAAAGCCGTCTGTCAACTTCCACGTATTCCAGGTACTGCACGTCCTCTGTCGCTGTTCCAACGGCTCGACATTCTGATTGGAGTGGCCAAGGGGTTGCAATACCTCCACAGCTTCGGCATCGTGCATCGCGACATCAAGCCCGCCAACATTCTCCTGGATGGGAAAATGCAGGCAAGTATTTATCCATGGAACACCTTGATGAAACGAAATGTCTAGGGTTTTTGCACAAGTCACCTTTACATCTGTCATCATGTTGCCAGCAACACTCTATCGTGCCCTTGTTATTGTCAACCAGGCTAAGATTGCTGACTTTGGCCTTCTAAAGCTCACTGGGGGAACTACTATGGCTGCCACTCGAGTGATGGGGACACCGGGCTATGTGGACCCTGCTTACTTCGAGTCGCAAAAGCCCACTACAGCAGCAGACATGCACAGGTGAGTTGAAAAATGCAGCCCTTTCTCTTTTTGTTTGTAAATCTGAACACAACCACGTCTGCCTTTGCACTTTCCAACTTTTGAGGCGCCTCAAAGTGAGGATTCTGCGTTTGAATATGTCTCTTGGCACTCTTCCTTTCACAACCCTTGTGGTGCAACTTTTGAGGCGCCTCAAAGTGAGGATTCTGCGTTTGAATGTGTCTCTTTTGATAAATTGGTGTTGGCAGCTTTGGTGTGGTGATGCTGGTGGTGATCTCGGCTCGCAAGGCGGTGCATGTGAGCGAGACTGGCGAAACCAACCTCAAGCAGTGGGTAAGTTTCTTTTGTTATGAGTGTGCACAACCACAAAACTCCAATGCCATGGCTGCTCAAATTGCGTGGTAACACATTATTCAATGCTGTATAAATTGGATGCCTTGCATTTACGCTGGGCCTGTGTTCAAGGACCCCAACTTGGAACCACCAGATGATACATGAGTCGACTCAAATGCCTTGCATTCCCTTTCCAACACAACAGGTCGCCCATATCTTGGAGTCAAATGCAGGGCCAGTGTTCAAGGACCCCTACCTGGACGCACCAGATGACTTGGTGCTGCGCTGGGCTCGCCTTGCCCTCTCCTGCACCGCCATGCCTGCAGCCTCCCGCCCCACCATGAATCAAGTGCTGGGGGAGCTGGTGAGGTTCAAGCAGGAGGCGTTTGGAGTGCATGTGAGCAAGGCGATATCTCGCATGGACATGGAGAGTGGGGGTTCTGTTGGCAGCTCCTCTGGCTTCACTGCTGAACTGGCCCGTGCGGAGCACATGGGAATGCAGAGCGGCTCGTTGACCAGCGGTTCCTTGTCCTAGGAGTTTGAAGGATTTCCGAGCCGAATATGAGTTCATCAATAGTGTGTTCTTGAGTGATTAATAAAGCAGCTGCATGGTGTGTTTTCTTCTAGGCGTGGACGTATCCACCCTTCACGTAGGGTACTCATCTCTGTAATCCTCTTTTTTTACAAACGTAAAACTCTCGCTTGTATGCTACTATGATGCTGGAGGATGGCGTTGCAAATAGCCATGATTTGACATCTGGTGTAAACTTAACCCATTGCTTTGAAAGTATTGCATCAACAGGTGTCCCAGGTGTGTAACCAGTGACTGTTGAAATCCAAAATTCGGGCTTGCGTATACTACGATAGTAGAGTCTGATTTATACTTCCGTCAAATGTTTCATGTCTGCATGTATCTACATTGTTGCGACGAGGGACTTGCTCAAATGATAATGAACCCGCAAGCAACATGTGTTACATACGTCCTGGTCCTGGTAATGTATACCGTACTAATCATTCAGACAATCGGGGCTATGTCACTACTGTATTTCCTTGCTTATAATACCCGAGGGGGCTTTCTATAAATCCCTAAAAAAATCATGGTAGGCATTACAACGGAAGGATTTTCTAAGAGCCTACGGACATATATTATTCCTTATCGGAGCAAGTTTATGCTGCCTTTAGATGATTTTGTGAGAAGGGTGGACTTTTATTGTTGGGGATTTTTTGCAGTGCAAACGCTATAGAGAAGTGTCAATTTGCTGTCTGACGCGCTGGATGTGTCATGCATACCAGTATCTGTCAGATTTCGAGTCTGACGCGTTGGATCTGTCAGAATTCGAAAATGATCCCTTATACTCTGACGCATGAACATAACAAAAATGTGCTAGAACAGCTCTATAAACAGAAATGGGGTTCCTTAAATGATTACCCCCTAAAGGGGGGGGTCCTCATACTTTTAACCTTTTTGGGAGAGTCCCGTGGGACTATCTTTCCAGGGGGATCCTAATACGGTGTATTTACCGCTCAGTGTAAATAAACTGACATGATACTCTAACATAGCCCTCACTGTGATGCAGTTGCTTGTGCTGAGATTGTATTGCGAGGTGAGGCCAAAAATTTTGTCTAGGGGGGCACAACTGGTGCCGTATGTTGGGAACAAATAATCCTAAGCGCCTCTGTCGTGTCGAAACACCAAGACACAAGCGAAGCAGCGCATATCGAGGCACCAGCGAGTCAACCCTCGGAGGTTGATGTAACCGCTGGAGGTTACGCGAAAGTCAAAGGTCAGCGACCTTTGACCTGACAAAAACAGCGCGACAGCAAGGACACACAACTGACTCGACACTGAGCAGTTGCCCGAGTCGCACTGTATCAAACCGCAACAGTAAAGTAGTTATAATTATGTCTCTTCATATTCTCTGTACTTATATATATAAATATATTCTTGTATCTCTTTGTTTTAATCAACTTACTTTGCCCTCACATACCAGCGCAAGGTGGTTCAAGTACCTTACTTAAAAACGCTTCCGCTACTACATCACTTTACTCAGAATTTAACTCTACCAAAGATCCTAGAGGGCACTCAGCCCAACATGGTATGTGAGCAGGTTAGAGTTAAATCATTTCTCCTCAATACTCAATACACCAAGAGATATGTCTACTAGAAAGGAGAGGAGCTCCTCCAACGGCTCTCCTGGTACTACTACTGCTCCACCTCCTGCCTCTGGCCTACAGACAGAGGAAGGGACAACAACGAGACCGGCAGCTGGGTCTACTGAAACACCCGCAAACCAAGGCGTGGGCTTCGATCCAAGCATGATGGAGAAATTCTTCTCCTTCATGTCCTTCTACGAGCAGCATCAGCAAGGAGGACCTGCGCAATCACACAACAGCAACAACAACGGAGCAACACCCATGAGTCTCGACGGCTCATCATATGCACGGGGAAACCAGCAACAACAGCCTACCTTTGCTCCGTACGAGCGCGGATCCATCACCTTCATGCCACAACCACAGCCGTCACCTGGACAAGAAAGACAACTGGACGCACTGCAAGTTCAGTCGCAATTCGCACATGTTCTGAAGATGCAAACGTCAAGACCTTTCGATGGAAAAGATTTCTTCACCTGGTCGTTCGAGTTTGAGCTGATGATGGAAGGCGCGCAGATACTCGGGTTCTTCGACGGGTCCCTGCCATATCCAACAAATGGCACACAGTACGAGAAGTAGCAATACACCTATCAGTCAGTGATGGCGTACACGATCATACTGAGAAATATTACCCCGACTCAACAGCAGAACATAAGGACCTACCGAGGTTACTGTAACTCCGCGGAGCTCGCTTACAACCACCTGAAGAGCCTGTATCAAGCAACAGACAGTGTAAGTCAAAGTCGGTTAATGGCGCAACTGACAACAGTTGAAATGAAACCAGGGGAGAAAGGACTGGCGTATATCAGTCGATGTCGCGAATTGCGCGACAAGTTTTTCGATGCGGAGGGTCAATCTCAGAAGACGCCTTCATGACAGTCATCATCGGCGGCCTCGGTCCTCAATGGCGTGCCACAAAGGCCATCCTCCGAGCTCACGGGAGAATCTCGGAAGCAGCGCTCTGCGCCGAAATCCATGCCGAACAGCAAGACATGGACCTGCAAGAAGAACGACATAAAAAGAAGACGTCAGCACCAGAGTTCGCGTTCCACACCCAGCGACGCTACAACAACAACAACAATCGGCAGCAACAACTGAAGCCAGTACCTCCGTTCTGCCACATCTGCAAGAATTCAGGGAATCCTCGTACGCACTGCCCAAATCGACAACGCCAACTTCGTCCTTCAAGCAGTCAAATCGCTTCAACGCAAGCAAACCCGACAACCTCAGTCCACGTCTCAACAACATCAACGGGACAACCTGCAAAAGAAACAAGAAACATCGTCAGCTGCATGGCAAGGCTGAGTGACTCCTGCGTAACTGAGTCACCACCATATTACTCACCTGAAGAACAACTCAACAACAGTACGCCTCGCCGCGAGTCACTCCAACCAAACCCGACGTACGCTGCCATCGCCCAAAGCGAGCCGTCTGGGAAAGATACATGGTTCTTGGACAGTTGCTGCGGGCAACACATGTGCTCTTCAGGACGTTTCGTTCAACGCGAGCACCTGTCAGAATATTATCTTATTGTTCTAGCCTGTAGTGGGGTGCTCTATAGCGAGTACAACCCTTCTAGGGTTTGCTATTTGTATCCTCATTCTTGCTAGTTCAACCCTCTTTTCTTTCTTTCTTCTAATTTTGACATGCTATCAGAGCAGGTCGATCCCCTTGGATCGTTCCTGTGGGTGTGTCCCCACCTTGCTTCCGCTGCTACTTTTTCCTCCCGCCGTGCGCCCCGAGGCGCGCGGCGGTTTTCTGCCCGCCGTGCGCCCCGAGGCGCGCGGCGGTTCATTGCCCGCTGTGCGCCCCGTGGCGCGCGGCGGGCTTCTCCTCTACGTCGCGGCCCCGCCCCGGCCCGTCGCCGCCCGTGCGCCCGCTCGACGCGGCCCGCCCTTCGTCGCGGACCCGCCCCGGCCCGTCGCCGCCCGTGCGCGTGCCCGGCTCGGCCCCGCCCTTCGTCGCGGACCCGCCCCGGCCCGTCGCCGCCCGTGCGCATGCCCGGCTCGGCCCCGCCCTTCGTCGCGGACCCGCCCCGGCCCGTCGCCGCCCGTGCGCCTGCCCGTCGCGGCCCCGCCCTACGTCGCGGCCCCGCCCTATGTCGCGGCCCCGCCCCTCGAAGCGGCCCCGCCTTACGTCGCGGCCCCCGCCCCGCTCGTCGCGGCCCCGCCCCTTGTCGCGGCCCCGCCCTCCAACCAGGCTCGTGGTGGGCCCCTTTCACCACACCGCCTCCCCCCCCCCCCCCCCCCCCCCCCCTGCCATTTCCCGTCGCCCGTCGCGGCTCCTTCGGGGGCCGCAAGCGGCCCCCTCAGGTCGCCACGACGGACGACGGGAGGGGCGAGCTGTGGGGTGGCGGGTATGGGGGTGGTCGGTGTGCCTTCCTCCCTTTCTCCTCCTCCTCCTTCGTCTCCCACTGCTGCAGCTGTCGCTGAGGGGGGTGGTTGTGTGGGAGACTGGGTTTAGGGTTTTAGGGGGGTGCGTGGGAGTAGAGCTAGTGGTGTAGCAGTGGGTGTGTATCAGGGGGGTGGGACTGTGTGCGGGAGGATGAGCGGAGGTTGCCAGTTTGTCGTCAGCAGCACCTGTAGTCCGGGGCGCTGTCCCGGTAGCCCAGTCGTAGCCAGCTGTGCCAGCCGCCCGTGGGTCCGTTGCCCGTCCGCCGCTATTTGAGCCGCGGGGCCTGTTACCCCTGTAGTCCGGGCGCTGTCCGGTAGCCGCTGTGCCAGTCTGCCTCCTGTTGCCCGTGTGTCTGCAGCTTCAGCCGTCGCCTCCTGTCTCCTCTCCCCTCACTCTCCCTCCTCCTCCTCACTTGCCCGTTGTGACTACCACTAGCTTTGCTTATAATTGTTAACTCTAAACTATTTCTTCTTGAACTTGTGCTCAGAATGTGTGGTGACATTGTGATCCACCCTGAGCTTGTTTTGCTTTGCCTGCTCTGCTGATTACACCCCACTTTGGCTATGGGGGTGTGTCAGAATATTATCTTATTGTTCTAGCCTGTAGTGGGGTGCTCTATAGCGAGTACAACCCTTCTAGGGTTTGCTATTTGTATCCTCATTCTTGCTAGTTCAACCCTCTTTTCTTTCTTTCTTCTAATTTTGACAGCACCAACTTCAACGAGAAGTCGTCATCACTGTCGCCAATAATCAAAACCTGCGCACACGACGACAAGGGGTAGTGCAACTTCAGTCACGGGAGACGAATGTCGTACTACAAATGTCAAAAGTCCTGATAGCAGAAGGACTCGGCTACAACCTACTGAGCGCCAGTCAGTTGATGGCGAAAGGCATACATCTGGAAGCCGACAGCACCACCCAGGAGTTCAAGCTGTACCACGGGAAGGGCGGCCTCTACATCGGAAAGGCGATCCTGAAGAAAAATGTCTTC